TTTTATTTCCATGCTAACTTTTATTTCCAACAATCCAAGAAACAGGAAACACTTAAAGCGACTCAGTAATTTTTATAAGTTTTAAGAAACTTTTTTAAAAAAAATATATAGATATATATATATATTCTTATAAGGACTTGCTAAGCTGACTTTCCTTCAGAAGCAGCTTAATTAATTAATCAGAAAAAAATATTAATTTAGTTTTAATTTTACTTTTATCCAAAAAAAAAGAAAATTTCGGAAAGGTACCGTGTAGACTTAAATACACATGTCAGCTACAGAGAAGTATCAATTAGCTAAAATTTATACTCCTCTTTATCAGTTAACAAATCCTCCAATTCTCCCCACGTGCCTGCAGATTACTTGAGGCACTTACAACAAGGAACTATGGGTGTTTGTCAACTAAAAAATTCAAATAAAGAGAACCCGTTCATCTAAAAAGAAAAAAAGGCTTGTTTCAAAATTTGAAAATATAACGAAAGCTTCCTCTTCTCTCTCGAAGCATTAAACAAAATCGATTGCGAAACTGCAACAGAACTCTTCTCAACTAGCATTTGTTTTATTTTCTCTTTTATCCGTGGTATGCTAAAACATTTTGAGGATATTTGAATTCTTTAAGTGACTAAAAATCCCGGTTTGTTGCGATTCAATTCTTTTATGCCAGATATTGAAACCGTGGAGAATAAGCTGTCCCCCCCCCCTCCTTAAATGAATAAGGGATTTTATCTGTAAAATTTTTGAAAGGAATAAAAATCCACAGTAAACGGCAATGATGAAATTCTTGCGAAATATATCTACAATAAAAATAGATTTTAATATTTTCGCAGATATAACGTTTCTCTCTCTACTACTGATTTTTTTAAAAATATCTTTTAAAACTATGATATTTGGAGAGGTAAGTAAAGAATTATTTTGACTATGTCTATCTTTATCTTTCAAGCAAATAAATCCTATGTATTATTATTGTCTTTGTGGGCACTTAGTTTAAGCTTCCATGAAGTCTATCCACTCAAGAGATCTTTGAAATTTTCTTTCATCTTTTCACATTCGAATAGCATTTAAAATAGTTCTTGGGCTATTTATAAGATATTAAACATTTTTACTGAAGAAACAAAACGAATTTTTTTCACATGAGTATTAAATAAGATAACTATACGCTATATTTTTCGGCAAACAGCAGCGTTCTGAAACTGTGGAGGGCGCGAGCATAACGAAAAGTCAAAAATAAAAGATTTACAATAATTATTAATTTAATCAAAAGAAATAAAACAAAATACATTCTGATACAATAAAAAATAAAATACATATTCACACTGATGTAAGATATTTATAAATGCATTAGTACGGCAAAAAGAATTTGATAATGAATTTTTATTCATATTAAATTAAAACAAGTTTAGTAATTACTAGTGACTTTCATGGGCTTGTCATATACAAAAATCTGTTGAAAACATAATACTTATCATGATAATTTGGGCAGTTCATAATTAAAGTCTCCTTAGTGTCGAAGGGCATAATTATTACATTCAATACATAGTTGTTGTACGAGGGGGGTGCGATGTAAATTATGATTGAAAATTGGGTCACAAATATTGAAAGTTTGAGAAGCACTGGCGTAGAAAATTTATCAATCAGTAAACAGGTACCATATTATCTTCTTTCGTTTCTGAAGAAAGTAGGTTTAATGAAAGGCTTTTAGGGAAATGTGTTCGTCTCTTGGTAAATATAATCCGACATTGTTTATAAAATCTTCTCGCCTTTCTTTAGAAATTCCTCACATGACATTGTTGTTGTACGACAATGGAAGAGCCAACACAAAAGATGTTTTCAGTAAAAAAATAAATTGAAGAAAATATTTGACTTCTTTGTATTCTGGGCAAAGCGAAAAACATGGTCGAATTTAGAAATAGGAGCATAACGGCACCTGCTTCCAGTACACAAGCCAATACATTTCTTTGACATATAAGAAGTTGTAATACCGTTTTTAAAAGCTAAATTAAATATGAAATTAATATATCATACGGTGTGTGTGCGTGCGTGCGTCGTAATCATCAATAAAAAGTAATATAAAAAAATTTAAGTTAATTCCTCTACTTAGGTCAACAAGAAAAATTTATTTTAGTTACTTTTTATTAAATAGTTACAATTAATATAAATATTTATATACATAGGATAGAATCACAATATTAAGCGACAAAATAGAAAGTTTTTCCATTTTCCTTTCTATATATGGCGTTGGACTATTTTTTATTTGTTTGTTACTATTTATTCATGAATTAAATTTTATTTTATTCTGATAAAATAGTATAGTAAAAAAGAAACAATTTTCTCAGAAATTAGGCCAACCCAGGGGGATTCGAACCCACTACCTATGGATTAGAAGTCCAACGCCCTATCCATTGCGCTACATGGACACAACGAACAATTTTCCTTTCTATGTATACTGTTGGACTATTATTTTTGTTTGTTATTATTTATTCATTTTTTAATTAACTAAGGAATTGATATTTGAAAAAACTGTATTAACATCAAGTGTCATCCACTATAAGTTTAAAAAAATGTATTTGAACTTGAATGGATGATTAGAAAGTATCTTATGAATGATTGCTGAAAATTTGAACAAGATATAATGAAGAGTGAACTAATGATAGGATTTAAAAAATACATCATACAAACTGACAATTCATTTACCTATTTTTAATATTTGTTTGAATAAATCAATATCGTATAATATATTTTTATGGAAGCACAAGAAATCCTTATTGTAAAAATCATGTTTTAGATAAAATTAAGAATAAGTATACATAAGCGATAAGTAAAAATTACTCAATCTACGTAGATGAATTAATAAACCTAGTTTGCTTGAAGTGCCCTAGTTAAATTCAAAATTAATTAAACTTATAATATATGGTACATGAACTTTATCTTACATCAGGAAGCTTTTCATATTGAAATGATACTGCTGAAATATAGACAAACTGTTTGTGTGTATATTTCAAAACAATATTTTGTATGATTTCACACAGATCAGTAAAGTCGAGAATTATAGACAGTTTTCTGTTATTTTTTAACTTACATTTTTAATCCATGTACAGAAATTTCTATTTAAATGGTATTTTTCCTCATTTGGATTTAAATAATAAATTAAATGAAAATAGAGTGGCTGCTTCTAATATTTTGATTTATAATATATGCTAATAATCTATTAATATAGATTCAGTAATGCTTTCCTACATTCAACCTAAAAATGTTATCACAGAGTATATGCTATGGAATACCTAACACATTCTCGTTTCACGTTTTATCAATGATATATCATATAAGCTTCCCTTTCCTTGGAAAAACTTTTGAATTTACTATTGTATCTCTTATAACAAAATCGAAATACAAAGAGGTGACATTTCTTAAAGATTACATCCTAAAAGCAGCGGAATCTATCAAAAAAGGTTGCAAAAAGATGTTCACGCCTCATCACTTTGCTGATTCGACACATTCAAACATTCCGTATGACGCTCCAATATAAAAGATGTCACGTAGTAAAATTTCCAAGTCTTCGCACATACATATATGCATGGAAAAGGAATAAAATCTGCTAAAAAAAGGAAATGCATAATGTCGAGAAAGGGAATAACTGAATGTAAATAAGTTATCTAAAAAAATACCAAACTACTGAAAAATGTGTAAAACTAAAAATTTAAGAAGTGAATTTTTTTAAATAGATAATATAAAACTAAAGAACATAATTCTATTCTTTGTAATTTTATAAAGATATGAAATGCTATATCATTTCGGTTTTCTAAATTTTCCTGGTTTTTTAGACCAATTTATTTTTTTCCTCGTTTTCTATTCTGCTCTATGTATTCGTCATTTCTCTTTTTATGTCACTTCTAGGAACAACTTTTGAAATTTTTGAGCGTGTAGACTGAATGCAGAAAGTCGTAGAAATCCTGCTAACTCTTTTGAACTCTGGGGTTATTTTGCAATAGGAAATCCACGTTTTTAAGAAACTGTACAGTTTTGATTATTCCTACAAACGTATTATATTTTGATTGTCAACCCTGAATTAAGTAACATAAAAAAATATGGAAATCAACAGATAAATATGTCACAAGTGTCATGTATTAATCAGTTCCTTAACATGACAGAGTTGAACAAAACACTCGATTAAGAATACATATACTGTAATTAAATTTTTAAGACATGTTTCTCTGAGTTATTCAAAGTAGAAAATAAAATTATTTAAGCGCATTAATTATTTGTTATTAATTATTTTTCAGTCTAGAATCTAAATATCGGTCTTGTGTATAAATTTAGTACGAATTGCTGCTCAAACAAAAATGTGTGTGATCCCAGTTGTCCATTTTTTTTTAAAATTAAATTTCAGGTTCAGGATAAAATTTCGAAGATTTTTATGTTTAATAAGGATGGTTATAGCATTACAAGTTTCAAGTGGACTCGAAGTATTCATGCGGAAATGTGTAGAATAAGAGAACCAGATAATTATTTAAATATCAACCTTATAACACTTGAACGTGACTCAGAATTATGAAATCTATCACTATTAGCACTCATACAGTTTTTACAATGATGTAAACGCAAACTAATCAGTTCATAGTTGACTGAAAACCAGTATAGAAATATCTTTAGGAATAAAGCCATTTTCATTCCCCCTCCCCCGGAAAAGCTACTAGTTACATCATCAATGCTTTTAGATTAACGTTACTTATAACAGTAGAACATGTAATATTAAAAAAAAATAAGTCAACTCCTACTTAGGTCAACAAAAGTTATTTTAGTTACCTTTTATTAAGTAATTACAAATAATACAAATATGTATATACATATGACTGAATCACAATATTAGGAGGCAAAATAGAAAGCGATTTTCCTTTCTGTATATGATGTTGGGCTATTTTGTTTGTTACTATTTATTCAGTGATTAAATTTAATTATTCCAATAAAATAGTGTAGTAAAAAGAAATCATATTCCAGAAATTATCCATCCCAAGTGGAAGTCCAACCCATGACCTTTGGATTAGAAGTCCAACGCGCTATGCATTGCGCTACAGGGACATAACGAGTGATTTTCCTTTTTATATATGGGTCTGGACTATTATTTTTGTTTGTTACTATTTATTCATTAATTAAATTGAATTAATGAATTAATATTTGAAAAAACTGTATTGACATCAAGTGTCATCCACTATGAGTTTAAAAAAATGTATTTTAACTTGAGTGGATGAATAAAAAGTTTTTTATGAGCGATTGAAAATTTAAACAAGATATATATAGAGAGAGATTGTGAACTAATAGTAGGAATTGAATAATATTTACTTTGTAAGCTTTATGATTTTGATCGGGAATTTTTTAAATTCTTATATGTGATATATTAATGGAAGTGATGTAATCTACGATATTTTTTTTTTAATTCCTACCCTTTTTGTTACCTCAAAATTCTTTTTGTGCTGTGGATCACTGATCAATTTTCTTATCAGAAAGGAGCCGTTGTAACTAAGTGGTCGTAGTCACGAATTCATGGCCAGCGTTGTTTTTGTCAAGTTGGTTTCGATTCCTGGTACCACAAAAATTTCTTTGTGTATTACGGCTAATACACTTCTATAAACTGTCGAAGGTTAAAGTTCTCATGTTGACGTGGAGTGGAAGTTTGAAGAGTTTGGTTCTAGCTCATACACATAGAGGTCCACGACACCTGGCGGTGGTCAAAACTTCCTAGTCTGCCGTCTTTTGCTCTTGGCAAGCTTCAAAGCGTGAAGTTTACTAAACCGATGAATCTCAATCGTAGGTTAGCAAAACATTTCAGTGTTCCATTACTTTAAAAAAATATATATTTTCATGCAATAAAAATTTAATTATCTTTCCGCCTTTTCTTTATATATAGTTTCAGACTATTTTTAAAAAAGTAGTATGCGTACTCGAATTTTTATTTCTGTTAAAATCTTATAAATTGAAATAATTTATTATATTTTGATAGTAATGGATTTAAATAAGAATTTAAATATTAATTGAAATATTTATTTGAATTTATTTTTTAAGTGCACAGAAACTGATCGTTTTTGTAATTAAAAGTACTGCGGCATTCAATACTATAAGAGAAGTGCTATATCTAGTTGAAGTTGCCTCGAAAAGCAACAAAATAAAGTTTCAAAGCAAAGAAGCAATTTTTAGTGTCGATTATTCAAGTGTACATGTGTTGGAGGCTGTGCATTAAGAGGAAAATGTTTTGTAAAGGCAAATACTAGTCTCCACTCTTTGTTCGTTCACACACCTCGGTGACTTTCGTGTTGTTTACTAGTAAAATTTGGTGAAACTTGAGAAATCTACTTTTAAAATGACAAATTAAAACATCCTCCTAACTGACTCTTTGGTCTTTTCCACGACGCACTCATTCCACTACCCTTATACAGTGGGAAATCATTTAACTGAACATGTGAATGCTTCTTGTCCTCTAACTTTCTACTCTTATAAGTAATCCTATTACCTGAAATAAATTAGTTTCCTGCTCTTCATTAGCCACGAAAAATTCTAATAAAATCCCATAATGCTATACTATTAACACATTTTAATTCTTGAACATTTTCCCTGGTTTATCTTTTATATTCTGGAGTTTCCTTTACCCATCCCTGGGTTTATGGGTCTTTTATTGATTTTTCTTTTGTTTACTTCTTTATTTTATTTTCAACATTTTTGTTTCGATAACTTTACATTTCCCTCGCATCTAAAGAAAAGGTTTTCTTTTGTTCTTTATCACACGTTGTATGTAGTGTAAATAATATATTATATGTGCTTTGTATTCCTTAAATTCTGTAAGTTTACAAATTATAAATAGTTTATATATTCTTGTAAATTTTTCTTTGTTCAATTCTTTATTTTTTATTTCCTTACACGAGACTTTATTATCTCTATCCATAATAAAATGTATGCTTCTTTTTATTTCAGCTGCCCTATTTTCTATTTTTGTCTTCTTTATTTTCAGCTTTTTGCTCCGAATCTTTTTCTATTTTTTTTTTTCTATCTTCTTATTTACTTTTCTTACCAACCATCTATTTTTTAAATGTAATTTATATTCCACTTTTTGAATTTTTGTTTTATATTACAATTACATTAAATTGACATAATCATAATATTATTCTGTTGGTTTTGTATATTATATAACCCAAACCTTACTTAAAAGATACACAACACTGTAATATATTTCTGTGCGAATTTGTTAATATTTATTAGTCATAATGTCTTCTTTTCCCTCGTTGAATTAACCAGGTCAATTTTGTTGTAATTTATATTTGTGTGTTTGTGCTATTTTGAATTTTACTGACCATGATTGTCAATCTCAATGTATTTTTTTCTTAGTTCTAGCATTTCAGGGTATTAAGAATTGCGCTTTTGTTTCACTGTATACATAATGCATGTGTTACTAATTATAATATTTTTTTGTTATATATATTTGTTAAATAATGATTTGTTGAATACAAATCATGTACGTATGTTGAACTTATAATATTGGTTGATTGTACAGAAGGTCGTTCACACTTTATGGAAATGATTTTGATAATTAATTTTTATCAATAAATATCGTATTTTTTGTGTAAATATGCTTCTGTTTGATAGCCACGATTCTTGACAATAGCTCTAGCACGAATTTTTCATAAAAGTGAACATTTTCTTAGTACTGTAAAACAAATTTTACTCCATTCCTCTTGAGACGTTTTCAAAATCCACTCAGTGCTCTTGAATGCCGTTTTCCTAAGGCTCATTTTAATAAATCGAAAGCATTAAATTCCATTGGAGAAGTGTAAGGAGATTTTACACGTATTTCATTAAATAGGATACACTTTATTCCTGTTTCTGATTCTTTCTTTGCTAAATAAGTGGCAGTTGACTTAGATGTGTGACTAGAGGCTTTGTCCGTATGAAGCTTAAAATAATCAATGTCCTTTCCATATAATATTGGAATTTCTTCTTCAAAATTTGGCTCTAAAATATTGTGCTGATAGTAGAGTGAATTAATTTTAGCTTTACTTGAAACATTTTATTTTTATTTTTAATTGACTGTTGTTAGAAAATCCTATAACGATCTTGAATCACTTTGGGAACTTAAATGTACACTGACGAAGCCATTTGGTACGGCCATTATCCTTAGTTGAACTATAAAAAATTGATCTTCTTTTATTACAATCACTTAAATGTACTCATGTCTCAATGAGTGTTACCACAAATTTCCATTTTTCAGCAGCTATATGTTTTTCATGTAATTTTCTGCAATTTGCTTTTCTTTTAGCAATATGTTTAAAAAAGGAGATGAACTTTAGGCTTAAACAACTGTTTTAACTTTAAATCCTTTTGAATAATTTTAATGACAGTTCTGGAAGACATTCCTAGTTTCAATGTAATGAATCTTTGAGTTGGCGAATTTTCTTTTAGGATCAGAGACTTCACTTTCTTGCGTTTGAACAGTCTTAGAATGAAATTTCACTATCATGTTTACCTTTTTACTTTCAGCTAGATGTTTTTACCTTTCAAATTTAATATATTATAAATACCTTTTATTGAAATGCAATAACCGAGACTTAAAACTACTTTATAATTTTTTGATACGAATATTTCTCCTCGGAAAGCGTAATTACGTAACCTTAGTACCATCTATCAATTTTAGGAGCCATTTTTAAAATAAATCTTTTATTTTATATTATAATCAAATTAAAACATTAGCAGACGATTATTCTGAAGCTTTCAAAGTTTTATCTCAAAATGCTAAGAAGAAAATGAATTACAAAACCGTTTCCATAAAGTGTGAACGACCTTCTGTATTTTGTCATCGCTCTACGAATTCAAACGAGGACTGACTGAACTTTAAATAAGAGCTGGCTGGAGGACTGGCACCTATTTTCTTTTTTGAAGTATTAGGGTGGGCGTTTTTCCCCAGAGGGCTATTACTGTAGCTATAAACTCTCGTTGAGAAACTCCGTCCTTCGGTCATTCAATATAGTTGGCCAATCAAATCTCCAGACCCAAACCCCGTAGAGCATATTTAGAATGCACTTGAGGGTGGTGAATTACACAGCTAGCCTTTCTCCTCTCTTGCGATTCTGGACTCGAAACAAAGTTGCTGAATAAGGGGGACCAACTGCCACTGGAACTCGTAAGCTCGTATGATTTCTCATTGTAAAAATTGTATGATTGTAAGAAAAAACCGTACCAGAGCGAAAAAATTTTTTATTCCATTTTGCAACTCTTTTTTAGAATTTCATAAACTGATGAGCCATAAACATGCTTATGTGTGTATACTATAACTGTTGTATGGTATTTTTATTATTTTTTGTGTATAGCATCACTTAATTTTATTTAAATCTGTCCAGTATTTCTGGAAAAAATCAATCAGAAGTGAAAATGCCCTTAATTTTTGAACACCAGTGTATAATCCAAATGCGTCATCACTCCCTTGGTTTCAAAAAATAAAGACATGAATTTATTATTTTGCTTACTAAAAGTGAAAATACTACTTACTTACCCTACGCGTAAGAAGATACAAGAGAATTTGATTTAGAATCGGGTTAAATAATAATCTTTTGGGTATTTGACACAATCACTTAGAAAATCAAGTAATCGGCAATGCGAGAAAATGTATAGATCTAAAGTTAATGCATACATTAAGAATCAAAGCATTTAAATCTCAAATTTTAAATCATTAAATTCATTTCGTAACGAGTAAATATCATTTTCTTAATGTAGTTTTACTTTAACCCCCCTTTTGTATTCTATTCATTTACAAGCCAAATATTTTACTCAAGAGTTGCTTCCAGTGTAACTAAAGAAATAATCATCAATAGAAATCTATTAAACATAAATATCAGAAACATGGTGCCTGTCCAAATATCTTTTAGTCGAATCTTTCGCGAGATCGACAACTGTCCAGTGAATTAATAATGGCCCACTTTTTACAGATCCAGATGCTAGTCGTGGTAGCCCACTCCTATTCATGCACCTGTCTTACCGTAATGTATACTCATTAACGATTGTGTAGTTTTGAAGAAAACAGTAATAATAACGCGTAACGA